TGGAGCCCTAGCAATAGAGGAGGAAGAGGAGGACAGGCCAAGCATCCCCAAGCCTAGGAGGATCAAAACTGCTGTGACCAAGTGATGGGTATTGGTGGTAGGAGACTCCCTTCTGCAGGGAGGCATCCATCTGACTTATCATCTGACCTATCATCTCAGGAGGTCTGCCTGCCCAGAGCCCACATCCAAGATGTCATAAGGGATTACTGAATCTCATCTGGCCCTCTGACTAATACCTTGTGCTGCTCATCCATGTAGGCCTCAATGATGTTGCCAGAGGTGACCCTGAGCAGATCAGAAGTGACTACAGGGCTCTGGATAGAAGGGTGAAGGGGCCAGCAGCTCAGGTGCCGTTCTCATTGATCCTTCCAGTCAAAAGGAAAGGCCTGGACAGGAGTGGATGCATCCTGCAGATCAATGCATGGCTGTGCAGATGGTGTTGCCAGCAGGGCTTTGGCTTCTTTGACCATGGGAAGTTCCAAGAGGAAGGAATGCTAGCAAGAGATGGGGCACACCTGACAAAGAGAGGGAAGAGCAGACAGTCTTGATAACCTCGTGAGGAGGGCTTTGAATTAGGTTCTCCAGGGGATTGAGACCAAAACCCTGAGGTAAGTGGGGAAATGGGTGTCCTGGAGGAAGCAAAAGCGGGAGGGGGCAACAGAGATTGGATGAATGAACTGTAAGGTGGATAGAAAACTAGCTGGATCATCAGGCTTAAAGCATAATCATCACTGGTTAGGTGTCTAGTTGGCAGCTGACATCAAATGGAGTGCCCCAGGGGTTGGTCCTGGGGCCAGTTTTGTTCAGTATCTTCATCAACAATCTGGATACTCAGCAAGTTAGTAGATGACATCAAGCTGGCGGACTGGAAGGTAGAGCTAGAATTCAGAGAGACCTCAACAAATTGGAGGATTGGACCAAAAGAAATCTCATGAGGTTAAATAAGGACAAGTGCAGGGACCTGCACTTAGGACGAAACAATCCCATGCACAAGTACAGGCTGGGGACCAACTGGCTAAGCAGTAGGTGTGCAGGAAAGCATGTAGGGGTTACAGTGGACAATAAGTTGAATATGAGCCAACAGTGTGCCCATGTTGCGAGGAAGGTTAACAGCATACTGGGCTGCATTAATAGGAGCGTTGCCAGCAGATCAAAGGAAGTGATTCTTCCCCTCATTCAGCACTGGTGAGGCCACATATGGAGTACTGTCTCCAGTTGTGGCCCCCCCCCCCACTTCAGAAAGGATGTGGACAAATTAGAGAGTCCAGCAGAGGGCAATGTAAACGGTGAGGGGACTGTGGCACATGGCTTAATAAGGAAAGGCTTATTTAGTCAAAAGAAGAGAAGACTGAGAGGGGATTTAATAGCAGCCTTCAACTACTGGAAGGGGGGTTCAAAAGCGGATGGGGCTAGACTGTCCTCAGTGGCAGCAGATGAGAGAACAAGGAGCAGTGGTCTCAAGTTGCAGCAAAGGACGTTCAGGTTAGAAATTAGGAAAAACCCTCTCACAAGGAAGGTAGTAAAGCACTGGAACAGGGAGGTTGTGGAATCTTCATCCTTGGAGGTTTTTAAAACCTGGCTAGACAAAACCTTGTCTGGGATGATCTATTTGGGGCAGGTCCTGCTTTGAGCAGGAAGCTGGATTAGGTGACCTCCTGAAGTCCCTTCTAAGCCTATTTTTTTTATGATTCTACATATAGTAATCCTTGTAGTCTTTGCCTCTTGAGTTTGACTACTCCAGGATTTTCAGGTATTATGTTGATAAAGCCCTTGGTAAAGGCCCACACAAGTTTTAGATGTTTCTAATATAGTAGTTTGATTATCAGGGTGCAGCCACAGACAAAAGGACAGCATATCAATTTTTTTACATTCTCCTGGCTCCCTGTCTGGTATTCTGCTTCTTGTGGGTGATGGAAACCGTCAAAGGATGAGCCAATCTATGCCAAAGGGTGCCTCTTTTTCCACATCTACCTACCTCATCAGGTGATTTCAGTAGGAGTGACAAGTTGAACTCTGAGTAGCCTGGCATTCTCAGCAGCAACCCCGCAACTACAGAACTCCTGTCGATGCACTGAAAATGATATATATGTCCAATTAAATGCTTGACAGTTTGCTTGGGGTGAAGCCAGTAGCTTTTTCAAAACACATACATTTTCTGTTGTTCAACATGCGTGTCTGATTTTTAAACTTCTTGTGGAAAATATGCATATTTCCATGTTCTTTTCAAAATGAAACTTGATTGTTCATAGCTCCTTATCACAAGATGTATTTAGATTCCAACATTTGCTATGTAACAGAGAAGTATTTGCAGTGAACCAGCTTATTTTTGGGCAGTTATATTGACGGTTTGTTCTTGCTCTGTATCAGACTAAGTCCAATAAAATATTGAGTTAATTGGATGAAACAGTGGTTGGTATTGGCACAGCTGGAGGGATCCAGAACCCATGCAGTGTTCTGTCTGTATTCAGTGGGTGATTTGTTTTTATTTAACCACACCTCTTTTTACAGTTCCAGCTAATCTCCCATACCTACATGTGGAACAGGGCTTATCATCATTAGGCATGGTGTGAAAGAAGAATTCTCTTGTATCCATCTGCTTTCAAGTGGAAGATATGAAACTCTGCTTGAAGCTATGCTTTTGCTTGGTGATAGTTGCACTTCAAGGACTTAATTTAATGCGTCCTGTGGGGGTGTAAGCTTCTCTGATTCAACTGCTCGTTTTTGTTTCTCAAGAGATGGTATCTTTATACTGCTGTCACTTTTCAATATATATATAGCCAAGTACAAATTTTAATCTGTCTGATCAAACTCAGACCCTCAAAGGTGCATGACCATCACTGAACAATCAATCCTATCTTAAAAAGGGGTACAGTTTAAGGGGAGGGGTGCTGGGAAACCACCTGCTGAATACAAACACTACTCTCTGAAGTCTCTGGGTCCTCCAGCTGTGACTACACCAGCCACCATTACATCCGATTAATTCAATATTATGTAGGTCCAAGTCTAAAAAAAAATTTGAAAAAAAAAAAATCAATGGGAGTTTATACACATACCCCAAGAAGATGGGGTGAGAGGGGCGCTTTAATTAGAGTGGCTCT